ATCAAAATGTGGCAAAGACACAACAAAAAGAGAAAACTGCAAGCCAATAACCCTGATGAACATAAACTCAAAACTCCTCAACAAAATACTGGGAAATCTAATCCAATAGCACCCCAAAAGGATAATCCACCACTATCAAGTGGGCTTTATTCTTGGGATGCAACGATGGTTCAACATACAAATCAATAAGTGTAATTCACTGCATAAACAGAATTAAAAACAAAACCATAGGATTATCTCAATCAATGCAGGAAAATCATTCAATAAAATCCAACATCCTTTAATGGTAAAAACCCTCAACAAACTAGGCATCGAAAAAACATACCTCAAAGTAATAAGAGCCATCTATGACAAACCCATAGCCAATATCATACTTCACAGGAAAAAATTGGAGGCATTTCCCCTAAGAACTGGAACAAGACAAGGATGTTCACTCTTACCACTCCCGTTCAACATATTAATAGTACTGGAAGTCCTAGCCAGAGTAATCAGGCAAGAGAAAGAAATAAAATGCGTCCAGATAGGAAAAGAGGAAGTCAAATTATCTCTCTTCACTGACAGTATGATTCTATACCTAGAAAATCCCAAAGATTCTGCCAAAAGACTACTAGACCTACTAAACTACTTCAGTAATGTTCCAGGATACAAAATCAATGTACAAAAATCAGTAGCATTTCTATACATCAATAATGTTTAAGCTGAGGACCAAATTAAGAACACAATGCCATTCACAATTGCCACAAGAAAAATAAAATACCTAAGAATACATCTAACCAAGGAGGTGAAACATCTCTACAAGAATTACAAAACACTGTTGAAAGAAATCATGGATGACACACGTAGAAACATTTCATGCTCACAGATTGGAAGAATCTATATTATAAAAATGCCCACACTGCCCAAAGCGATCACACATTTGAATCTATTTCTGTCAAACTACCAACATCATTTTTCACAGAATTAGAAAAGAATATTCTAAAATTCACAGGAAACCAAAAAAGAGCTTGAATAATCAAAGCAATTCTAAGCAAAAAGAACAAAGCCAGAGCCATTATACAAGGCTACAGTAACTAAAACAGGATGGTACTGGTACAAAAAATAGACAGATAGACCAATGGAACAGAGTAGAGAACCCAGCAATAAAATTACATACCTACAACCTTTGATCTTCAACAAAGTCGACAAAAATAAACAATGGGGAAAGAACACTCTATTCAATAAATGGTACTAAGAAAACTGGCTAACCTTATGTAGAAGAATAAAACTAAACTCCTACCACTCGTCATATACAAAAATTAATGCAAGATGGATTAAAGAATTAAATGTGATACCTCAAACTATTAAAACCCTAGAAGAAAACCTAGGAAATACCAGGATATTAGCCTATGCAAATAATTTATGGCTAAGGCCTCAAAAGCAAATGCAACAAAAACAAAAATTGACAATTGTGACCTAATTAAACTAAAGAGCTTTTGCCCAGCAGCAGAAACTATCAATAGGGTAAACAGACAACCTACAAAATGGGAAAGTATATGTGCAAAGCATGCGTCTGACAAAAGGACTAATATCCAAAATCTATAAGGAACTTAAAGAAACCAACAAGCAAAAAACAAACAACCCCATTAAAAGGGGGCAAAGCACATAAACAGACACTTCTCAAAAAAAAAAAAGAAGAAGAAAGACGACCAGGCGCGGTGGTTCATGCCTGTAATCCCAGCACTTTGGGAGGCTGAGGCAGGCGGATCATCTGAGGTCGGGAGTTCGAGACCAGCCTAAACAACATGGAAAACCCCTGTCTCTACTAAAAATACAAAACTAGCCAGGCGTGGTGGCACAAGCCTGTAATCCCAGCTACTCGGGAGGTTGAGGCAGGAGAATCGCTTGAACTTGGGAGGCAGAGGTTGCAGTGAGCCAAGATCATGCCATTGCACTCCAGCCCAGGCAGCAAGAGTGAAACTTTGTCTCAAAAAAAAAAAAAAGAAGAAAGAAAGAAAAGAAAAATACAAGCAGCCAACAAACATGAAAAAAATGCTCAACATCACTAATCATCAGAGAAATGTGAATCAAAACCACAATGAGATATTATCTCACACCAGCCAGAATGGCAATTATTAAAAAGTCAAAAAATAACATGTTGGTGAAGTTATAGAGAAAACAGAATGCTTATACACTGTTGGTGGGATTGTAAATTAGTTTGGCCCCTGTGAAAAGCAGTTTGGAGATTTCTCAAAAAACTGAAAATAGAAGTAATGTTCAACCCAGCAATCCCATACTGGGTATCAACTCAAAGGAAAATAAACCATTCTACCAAAAAAAAACACATGCACTCATATGTTTGCAGTTCTATTCACAATAGCAAAGACATAGGATCAACATAGGCGCCCATCAACAGTGGGCTGGATAAGGAAAATGTGGTACATATACACCATGGAATACTACACAGTCACAAAAAAAAGAATGAAATCATGTTCTTTGCGGCAAATTGATGCAGCTAGAGGCCATTATCCAAAGTGAATTAATGCAGAAACAGAAAACCAAATACTTCATGTTCTCATTTACAAGTGGAAGCTAAACACTGGGTACACATGGACATAAAGATGGGAACAATAGACACTGGGGACTCCAAAAGGGAAGAAAAGGAAGGAAGAAAAGATTTGAAAAACAACCTGTTAGATACTATGTTCACTATTTGGGTGATGAAGTTCAATAGAAGCCCAAACTTCAGCACCACTCAACACATCCGTGTAACAAACCTGCACATGTACCCTGTGAATCTAAAATGCTTTTTAAAAAATTAAGACAAGTGGTAAATCAAAATCTTTTTGAAACATAAACTGAAAAGTTACCTTTCCATATTATAGAATTATCTTATAAATTAATAAATAATAAAATGCTAAAAATCAAAGATGTGCAAAAAACATTATGAATAATTCATAAAGGAGTAATATAGATGGTCAATGAACATATTTTTCAAGATTTAAATTCTTAAAGAAGTGCAAAAAATGAGAAACTATTTTATCTATTAAATTAGAAACATTTGTTTAAGTAATAATATTAATTCTTGCAAAGACATAGAAAGACAGGCTTTATGATGCACTATTGTTGGAAATATAAATTGATACAATGTTTTTAGAAATTAATATGGTAATACCCAGTTTTAAAGTATTGCCTCTACTTAATCTATCATTTAAAGAATTTCAAAAATGGTGGATGAAATTCATACAAACATATTCTATTCCCCAAGTGTAATAATATCGCCTGGGCGTGGTGGCTCACACTTGTAATCCCAGCACTTTGGGAGGCCAAAGCAGGTGAGTCACTTGAGGCTAGGCATTCAGGACCAGCCTGGCCAACATGGTGAAACCCTGTCTCTACTAAAACTGTAAAAATTAGCCAGGCATGGTGACGGGTGCCTGTAATCCCAGCTACTTGGAGGCTGAGACAGAATCGCTTGAGCCTGGAGGCAGAGGTTGCAGTGAGCCAAGATCACGCCACTGCACTCCAGCCTGAGCAACAGAGTGAGACTCCATCTCAAAAAAAAAAGTCTAATAAAATCAAAAAACTAGAAATTTCCAAAAAATAGATAAGTAATTCATATTAATTATGGTACATTTATACCATAATTAGTATGACATTGTCCCTTAAATTATCACTTAGTCACTTAAAGCATGGTTAATGAGGATTTTTCAGTGATACTAGAAGACTCATAGTATTGAAAATGAATTAATATTACATAAATTTATTAGCTCAATTTTGCAAACCATATGCACATATATACGGAAAGTGTCCAAGTTGAAGTAAACTATAGTTTATTTAGTTAAATATTACTTCATTATAAGTAATTATATCTGGAAAGTAAGTATCATGAGTATTTTTTCTTTGTATTTTTCTATCTTCAAATTTTTGTGTAATAAGCCATATTTTTCTAATTAAAAAAAAGTTAATTGAATAAAAGAATGACCTGAAACTGTGTTCTCACGATTTTTCCCTCACTTTCATAATTTCTTTCAACTGATCAACTTAAAAATGTTTAACCATTCTTTATTGTAGTAAAATATATATAACAGAAAATGTACATTTTAATCATTTTTAAGCATACAGTTCAGTGTCATTAAGTACATTTATTTATGTATTTATTTTTCTTTTCTTTCCTTTTGAAATAGGGCCTCCCTCTGTTGCCCTGGCTAGAGTGCAGTGGTGAGATCATAGTTCACTGCAGCTTCTAACTCCTGGGCTCAAGCTATTCCCCATTCAGCCTCCCAAGTAACTAGGACCGCAGGTGCACACCACCACACCCAGCTAATTTTTTTTTTTTTTTTTGTAGTGACAGAGACTTACCATGTTGCCCATGTTGGTCTCAAACTCTTGGGCTAAAGCAATCCCTTTTGAGCTAAAGCAGTCTTCCTGCCTTGACCACCCAAAGTGTTGGGATTACAGGCATGAGCCACTGGGCCCGGCCCATTAAGTACATTTACACTGTTGCTCAACAAAAAAATTTTTAGTATGACAGTAACAACTATGTACTGGGCATTTCCAATGACCACATTTTACCAACTCTACCTTCAAGATAGAAAATAAAATTGCTTTAAGCCAGTCACAAAAAGACAAATACTGCATGATTTAACTTTTATGGAGTTATCTAAAATAGTCAAATTCATAGAATTAAAGAGTAGAATGGTAGTTGCCAGGGGCTCGGGAGAGGGGGAAATGGGGAATTACTAATCAACAGGCATAAAGTTGCAGTCAAGCAAGATGAATCAGCGCTAGAAATCTTTTGTGCAACATTGTACCTGTAGTCAGCAATAAATACTGTCTTCCACACTTAAAATTTGTTAAGAGGGTAGATCTCATGTAATTGTTCTTACCACAATAAAAGAAAGAGAAAATAAATAGTATTGTTTTAGAGAGCTGCCTTTACTTTTGTAAATAATTCTATGTGCTGCAAATTTATTTTTTGAGAATTTGAGTCTTCACTGTTCTGTCTCTTACTGCCATTACAGTACAAAGAGACCAACACTTTAATCAACACCATACTTGAGGTTCAGCCAAGGTCATCTACTGGTGGAGAGGGAAAAAGCAATGACGAAATTGTTCAAGAACTTGTTGCTTCCGTCCAGGCCAGAGTTCCAGGTAATAAATAATTCTAGGAATTTGTATGTAATAGGAATTTCAGGAATATACTCAGAGAACTGAGTGATAAACAGATGTCAAAACCTGCTTATTATGTAGACTTTTTTTAACCTAAAGAGCTCTTTTGACATGGAGCTCTTCATTTATAGACTAGAAGCTTACAGCATCTCAGCATCTCAACTGCCAGAAGCATTAGGAGGAAATTGGTTTCCAGCTCAACGTAACTTTAACCAGACTTTTTCCTGAGCTTCCCTTGATTTCATTATTCTACTGTCTCTAGACCTGTGCTGTGCTAGAAAATAGCCCCTAGCCACATATGGCTTCCTAAATTTAAATTTAATATAATTTAAAATTCATGTCCTCATTTGCACCAGTCACATTTCGAGTGCTGTCATTGGACAGTACAGATAGAGAACACTTCCATCATCATTAAAAGCTCTACTGGACAGTCCTGCTCTAGAATCCATTTCAATTTTTTCTCCATTTAGAAGACATGGCTAAATTACTTTCATCTTGTTTTCTGATAAGTGAAAGAGTCTTCCTGAATGATCACAAGAGATCTATTTTAACACTTTTCTTAATCGGTAGGAGATTTAGATGTCTTATTTATTCATGGTTGGAAGAGATGTCATTATAGGAAAAAGAAAATTGGGACAGAAAAAAACAGCAACTGAGTCTTGCCAATGCCCTTAAGCCCCTGGAATAAAAGGAGCCTTGTGGTTTCAGAAGTCAGTTATCTGCCTCCTAGAAGCAAGCCCTCAAGAGAATGTCTGCTTGGTTAGAGAATTCTGTTGTTGAAGCAAACAGTCAATAAATATAAGATCAATAAATATAAGATGGAGTGCTGGTTGGGAAAAGGATGGAGAGATGAATGGATAGCTGCAGAGACCGTGCACTTGTTTGGTAGAATCCCATTGACACCTAGGAGGTTTTTCTCTCCAGGCTTCATAAAGCTTGTACTTTTACTGTGAAATGCTAAGCAGATCATCTGCTTAGACTGAGGGGACAGGAAAGCAATTGGCTCAGCAAAAGAACTGAGAGTTTGAAATAGCCCTGAGAGGAATGGTGGAAAGAGAAGACCAGGGACATGTAACCACAGCACTGTGGACCCAAGGGATTAGACTCATTGGCACTGCTGAGGAATTTTTGTCCAGCAGCCAAATGTGTGTGGTCAAGAAGGAATTTGATATATGTACGTCATAGTCGTTTGTTTACACATACTTTTTGCAAATACGCAAGGAAAAGGCCGTTCCTTCCTCTTTCGTAGCTCATATCATTTTCATCTGAACCTGCATTTGGTGGATTGTAGGGAGAAAGAAGAGCTACATTTTCCATCCAGTTTGAACCATGAGCCTGTTTAATAATGTAATCAGTCCCTTTAAATAATGCCAGTAACATGGGATAAACACTAAGTCTCTCTCTCTCTCTCTCTCTCTCTCTGTGTGTGTGTGTGTGTGTGTGTGTGTGTGTGTGTGTGTGTCAGTCTCCTGCCCCCAACCTTTTCTATTCAGTGCAGGTGAGCAGGGAAGTGGGAGATTTAAACACTTGTATGGTAGAAGGGGAGACTCAGGGTCCCTGGACCGTCTAGTCTCTGGAATGTTCCTTATCTACCAGGCAACCACTTTGTCCTGCTAGCATTTGCCACTGAACCCTTCAGGGCTCTGCCTCCCAATCAGCCAAAGCCAGGCACACCTTCCTGTGCCCTCCTGCCAACCCCCCTCATTCCACATTGGAAACCTTTCAAACCTCTCATCAAACTTGCCGATACCACTGAGCCATACTGACCTTCCATTTCATCCTCTTCCCTCTCAACCCCTCACCTCCTCCCCACAGTCAACCAGAATGAAAATGAGCAGGCTTCTCCTTCCTTTTTCCAGTCCTCCTTCTACATTAGCACAGCTAGTCTTTCTATGATCTCACTTAAGCAACAAGAACCTACTTCTCCTGTCCCATTGCCGTAGACCACATAGCTCAAACTGGCTGGGAAGATGAAAATACCCATGGGGAACATGCTTTAAGGGAAGAAATGAAATGCAATGGTTTAGTGTTTGAGGAAAAAAAAGTATGTGTGTATGTATATATATGTCCTGATACAAATGAATTTAAGCTTAATTTTCTGTGATTGCTTGTATATAAACACAGGTGAATCACAAAAGCATTCTAAATTATAGAAATGTCACATTTAAATGCTATGTGTCTGGCTTAAACAATGAGAAAAGCTGGCTTTTTTAAAATGTTAAAATAAGCACATTGCCTTAGCAATATTGTGAGAACAAATCAATGATGACTAGCCTGAGGAATCGCTGTGTATGTTTCAGAAAAACTGGAAATGGAGGGTGCTTCTGAAGGCCTTTTCGTCAAGGATCCTCAAGGACGCCTGAACTCCTTGACCACTGTTCTTGGACAGGAAGTGGACCGGTTTAACAACCTGCTGAAGTTAATTCACGTATGAGAGCTTACTTTCATCATTGCTATTGAGCATCAAAGCTTTGTAGAGAATTGTATAATACGAAATTCTTCCGTTCCTATTACTTTGGCATTTCCATTTGGATACACTAACAACTCTTCAAGTCCAATGAGTCTAAAAATGATTTTATCCTTCTCTAATGAATCTGTATTCCCATTTTCTAATAACGATGGAGTGAATATGTAATATTACAAATTCTCAGTCTCCTCCTTATCCTTACACCCTTAGATTCTGTTGACTCACTAGAAATTGATCAGAGACCTAAGCACTCATTTAAGAGTAATTCAGTGCTTGTTCCTAATGTCTAGTTTGCATTTAATAACATAGTCTTTAAGCAAGACCGTGAAAACCAGAATCTGTCAGTGTGGGCCACAGAATGCCTGCATTAGAGTCCCCTGTGGTGTGTTCAGCATGTGGATTCCTTGATCCCACTCAAGACCTACTGAGTTAGAATTTCTTGAAGCAGAGCCTGGGAATATGAATTTTAAATAAACTCTCCGGATGATTTTAATGCCGCTAAAATTTGCAAACACGTGTTTGATCTTCTGCTTTATGTTCATAGATAGTTTCTCTCTGCATTGCCTTGCATTGATAATGATGGTCAAAGGCCTTCCTAGTTTCTCTGTGCATAACTTTGATAAGAGAAAAAGAATAACTATTAGCAAATATTGAGCATTAACAGGAAAAGTGTTACTGCTAATCAGGGAACCAAACACCTACTTCAAGGTCAAGACTTGGGGATAAGATTGGGGGAGAACTGGGAGAGATCTTTTACAGCTAAAGACCATTGCTGTTCCCCATCAGAAAGGCAAAGTCTCTGGATGTTGCTGCTTGGCTGGCAATACCTAGGCTTGTTGGTTAGGTGGACCCTGGATCAGCTGAGTATGTGGTCTTCACCTTGGGACTGTGGCATCTAGTCAGGTATGCACCAAAGTCAGCAAGCTAAGTCTCTCTCCTCTCTCAGTCTCCTGGTCAGGTTGCCGGGTCAGGGCTTATTTCCTTCTATATTGAATGAATTGGGGTATAGACTAAGCTACTATGATAAAGACCCCCATAACATAGTCCAAAACAAGATAAAAATTCACTTTACTCTCCCCTAACAGTCCCGAGGGAGCCCTGTCTTGGGCAGGTAGTGAATTCTGCTTTGTGAGCTCATCCAGGGATAAACAGGTTGGCTCTTCCAGTCCCAAAAGACAACTTCCGTGTCTGGGTCTAAGGTGACTGCCCCAGTTGTCCCCTTTTGCCAGCCAGTGGGAAGTAGGAAAGAGAGAGCAAGGAAAAGCAGCTTCCTTATAAAAATGTGATCCAGTGGTAGTGTACATCTTTTCCTCTTATATCCCATTAGCCAAAACTTGGTCACATGGCCACACCCCAGCTGCAAGGGTGGCTGGGAAAGGAGTCTCTAGATGGGGTGCTATGTGCCCAGCTAACACTAAGGAAGTGCTGTTGTTTTGAGGAACACCAGGAGATGGATGCTACTCATGTCTTGCCCTTTCCACATCATGAACTTTCACCCACTTGAAGATAAGACCAGATGTCACTTCCTCCATTATGTCTTCCTGGAGACCAGCCCTTCCCTCTACTGCCAGATGAGTTAGGGTCCCATCCTCAAGGCCCTGTCATCTCAGGTCTCTGTATCCACCACTGTATTCGTTACACTTTTTGTAATTTCCCACCTATGAGTATGGCTACTCTAACAAAGAATTTCTTAAAAACAAGGGAGCTGTTACATTCGTCGTCTTTGTTTCCTTAGTAACTGGCATACTAAATCTTCCACAAATATTTGAATGTACAGGTGAACAAATGTGACTCTCAGGTCTCCTTTGGTCACTTTTTCTGGTCAAACAAGCCCCAGTCCACCACTAACAGAGGAATTCACCTAATGGAAGCGTAAGGGGAGGAGCCCAGGGACAGGTGGCCTGCAGGGCCATCAGGAACCACAACCAAGCATTCCCATCAGAAGGGAGGTGCCCACCATGGCATGCTGTGCCTGTGCCAGAGGCCTTCCTCGCCTGACCTCTAGTCCTAGACCACAAGGCTTGGTCCTGCTTTGCCCTGGCTTTGTTCCCAGCCTCACCTTCCCTTCCCTTTGGGAACAGCCAGATAGTACTGTAGTGGCAATACGAAAGCCAGGGGAAGGGAGCAGCACCCAGGAATGCCATCCTGGCTAACCCACTCTCCTCCAGACAGAACTGTGGAATAGGGCGGGTCCTGGGAGTGACGAGGCCACCCTGTGTTGGCTTCCAAGCCACAGGGGAAGGAAGGCCTTTAAAGTACTCTTTCTCCCATTTAATACATCTGTGTGTTGGCTGCCTCCTTTGGGAGAATCGACTGCAACATGACCTCTTTCTATTTCAAGCAGACCTTGAAGGTCTCAGCAGTCTGTTCCCTCCACCTCTATCATTTTTTGTGTTCTCTCTGGATGAGTCTTCTGCTACTTCTTCCTATTTCCAGGTCTACCATGGAGGATGGTCTTGGCTCTGGCTAAGGGCCTCTTTCCTGCACTCTGCTGCAGATGGTTCCTCAGATCCTAAGGACAAATCTAAGTAAAACACTTCTTTTTTCTACCGCTGCCTCTTGTGAAAAGAGGTACAGGGAGAAGGGAACCAACAAATAAACCTATGAAAGAATGGAAGGATGTGTAGCCTTGTTTTATCCACACAGTGCCTGTCGCTAAGACACTGTGCATGTGGTCCCAGTCCTTATTTGGTTGCTTAGTCAACATAAATTTTACCTCTAATATCTTCCTATTATATTTTCCCGGTATATGGCAGTTTTCACAACACTGCAACCGTGAGGGCCATAACCCACCTACATGCACTCGCTCCTCTTTAGCCAGGTGGCAAATATCGCCCTGTACTCCACTCCAGCCCAGTGTCTCCCAGGACTACTGCCTGCCTCCATCTTCTGGTGAGAGGAGGAGAGGCTACCAGACATGGTTTAAGGAGGTGTTTCCAGTACAAGGAGACCATCTGATGCCAACTAGAAGATTAGTGTCATCTAAGACTCTCCCCTTTCCAGCCAGGCGCGGTGGCTCACATCTGTAATCCCAGCATGTTGGGAGGTCAAGGTGGGCGGATCTCCTAAGGTCGGGAGTTCGAGACCAGCCTGGCCAACATGGCAAAACCCCTTTAAAAATACAAAAATTATCTGGGCATGGTGGTGCATGCCTGTAATCCCAACTACTTGGCACACTGAGGCAGGAGAATCACTTGAACCCAGGAGGTGGAGGTTGCAGTGATCCGAGATCACACCACTGCACTCCAGCCTGGTGACAGAGCAAGACTCTATCTAAAAAAAAAAAAAAAAAAAAGACTCTCCTCTTTCTGCACTAACTCTGGGGGTTGCGGGAACCCCCTGAGCAGAGATGACCAGTAGCATGAGGTGGTTCTCACTCCCCATCTCCCCCTCCTCCTCACACCCTGTGGTCCCCAAATCACAGTCAGACCTATTTTTCTTTTGGCCTGGAAGACTGCTGGACAGTGGCATTTCTCCCAGTCGCTTCTCCAGGCTTCAGGAGACATTTCTGCTTCCTTCTTTCCACCGCATTGGACTCTACTATCAACTGCCACCCTCAAGTGTTACACCACAACGGTCACATATTGTAATAATGCATGAAATATTGGAGGGTCTGGGAAACAGACAGTGTGCACAGAGAACAGAACCCAGCAAGTGGCACCTCCGGGCAAGGCAGCACCTGCTGTCATGAATGTGTGTCACTGACACTGGATAATGACATCTACAAAGGCCACTAACCCCTTTTCTGTTCTTTCAGACTTCTCTGGAAACACTCAACAAAGCCATCGCTGGATTCGTGGTGATGTCTGAAGAAATGGAAAAAGTGTATAACAGTTTCCTCAACAACCAGGTTCCCGCTCTGTGGTCCAACACAGCCTACCCATCCCTGAAGCCACTAGGGTCGTGGGTCAAAGACCTTATCCTGAGGACCTCATTTGTGGATGTAAGAAAATTTCTTCACTGGGTTTCAATGAGTCTGATGGCATAGTTGGCCTAAGGTCCCTAAGAAGCACTGGCTAAAGATATCCACAGTCACTGATGGATAATCTGAGCCCAGAGAAAAAGAAATGTCCAGAATGGCATCACTTTACACATCTTATACTGATTATAATATCGTTTGCCCTAGGCACTCATCCCCACATTCCACTTTAGTTCCACTTTAATTAATTGGGGTTTCAGCTCTAATTCATGGGACCCCACAGTGAGGTACAGACCAACTGAGATGAGTCCAAACCCCAGATAACTTTGCTGCTGTCTCCCTCTCACATACCCCACAATAACCAGGCTCTGGGTCCGCAGTCATCAGGCTGGCAGAACAGGAAGGGGAACGGGGCAGGCAGTGAAATGGGGGTGGTGACTAACTCAGGGCTGCTTTAGTTTCTGCCTCCTGAGAAACTCTCCTCAAATAGGACTTTGCTTTAGAAAACAAATTCCATCCCAGAAATAATGTTTATTATGAGTATGTTTCTCCTTCAGTTGTGGCTCAAAAGAGGACAGCCTAAGTCCTACTGGATCTCCGGTTTCTTCTTTCCTCAAGGATTTCTAACAGGTACCAGCACTTCCCCTAGAAAAACCCCACAGGAAAGGCCATGGATTGTCATACACAGGGTTTTGAGGTCCTGGGGAAATGACATGGCTGCTAATGCTTTAACAATGAGGCTATTGATCATAGGGCAATCTAACAAGGTCCTGCACTTCCTCACTTGTGGGGGGCAGAGGAAAGATGACAGAGATAGCAGATGTTCCCCAGCAACCTAATCCCTGCCCCTCTCAAGTTACATAAGTGCAGGCACTGCTGCCTCCACGAACACAGTGTGCCTCAGTTCCCCATGTGACCCACGCTCAAGGGCGTCATCTGCTGTCCACCTGCTCAGGCCCCAGCTGTGAGCAGCTTCCCTCCCTCTGAGAAATTCTCTTGATGTGCTTCCATCAGCCCTTGGGGAATCTAGCCCCTTCAGAAGGGGCTAGAGCCTGTGAGCAACTCGATGCTAATGACCCAAGCCCTTCATCTCTCTCATTCTTAATACCTATTAAACAGCCCATATAAAACAAGCTGGGCAAAATCCTAAAGTTAGCGAGATTGGGCTCGGAAACTGCCTCACTCATTTGTCTCCCTTATGTCAGGGCAATGCACTGCATACTGGCCTTCTTCCCTCCCTTCCCAACCAGGACCAGAGCTTGTCCATCCTTTGGGCCCTTACCTCCCAACATGACCCACAGGCTTCCTGACCCTGTGAACTAACTCAGAGGAAGATATTAAGAGCTGGGTTTTCTCTGTAGTGGGAAGGCTCTCTAATGCCAGGGCAGCCTGGTTTGTGTGAAGGAGGAGTGCCTGGGGAGTAGCAGTGTTGTTTTGAACGCGGCTTTCTGATTTCCATAATTACAGGAACTCTTCAAAATCATGCTCGAAAATACAATTTGCCTATAGATGAGCTAAGTTTCAAATACAACGTAATTCCCACCTATCGGGATCAAGCTGCAGTGATAGAAGCTGCCAAGACAGTGCAATTTGGACAAGAACTGCCCATGGACATGGAGGTATTGTCCACCTGGCTGTTGTGGCAAAGCAGCTTCTATCCCACTGTCCTTGAAGATTTCAGACAACCTCCCATGCCCCACTGCCACCACCTCCCATCGGCAGGAGCAGGAAGGGCAGGGCAGTAATCACACCTCCAAGATAAGCTCCCCAATTAGCAATGACCAGATGGGAACTGCCTCAACTAGTCTGATTTATAGAAATACATTTAAAGCAATATTATTTTATTTTTTAGCTACCTTTAGTAACCTTCATCTTACAGAATCAATATAGCAAGAAGTTAACAGCAAGGATTTAAAAACTAGACAAGCCTGAGTTTGAATTCTGACACTGCCTTTCTCCAGCTGTATGTGTTGGAGCAATTGTTGACATGTCTGCACCTCTTATTATTTTAAGATCCTTCTTGTCTTAAGAAGAGGGTATCAAGTTTCCCATGTAAGGAAAACTTGAGACTCCAGGGAGGCAAAGCAACACCCACATTAAAGCCCCCACTGGAGCTTCCAGGACCAGCCTGCCCTGGTCTACGCTCAGCACACTCCATCTGCCACAGCGGCTGATTCTGACAGACAGAAGTTTACAGTGACCACCAGGGCTCTGTCCCTCCACCCCATCCCAGTTCATACCATGGCTCTGCTTGGCTCATGTGTGCTGAGCCATGAGAATACCTTACAATCTCTGAGATCTGGGGAGACCTCAGACTGTCTAGCTGGCCTGTCTCCTGGCCCACCTAGCAAATGTCTGCCACCAACAGACCAGGAGACGGGCCTGTAGTGCGGTGTAAAGGAAACAGCCAGTATCATGTGACAGGCACATATACTGGTCTAAACACAGGGTATGTGTTTAAACACCTTTATCTCTGTTACAAACAGCCAAGACCACTGTCAGCCCATTTGCCTCCTTGGCTCAGCATAGGAAAAGGTGCTCCCTCTGGGTGGATGCCCAGATGATGGACACCCAGTAGGTAGCAGGATAGTTTTCAGGCAAATCTGCATAAACGTATGTGGCAGCCCAAAAACAGGAAGGCCCACCCTGCTGCACCCAAGAAACAGAAAGTTTAGGACACCAAAAAGCAAAGACCAGCTAAAAAGAATTTAGTTTACCATCCTTTTATTCACTATAAAATGCACTACATATTATCCAAACTGCTTAGTCCTCTGCCTGCCGACGTGAGGCTCCAATTATCTAAAGACCTGGGGCCAGAATTGGCCAAATCCACTCAGGGTTTGAGGAAGAATGATTCAGATACCCACAACTGGTGCAAAAAAAAAAAAAAAAAAGTGCACCGGTGGAGACATCCAATCACAGGACTCTGATGGGCAGGGTTTCTCACTCTCCCTCTTTCTTATTTAATACAAACACTTAAAAGTAAGCATAATTTTAAAAAGAGAGAGAGAAAGAACAAAAAGGAATTTTCCATGGACACTCTGTAAATATTATTGCAGATATATAATCTCTCTTCTAGGAGGGCATCCAAATCCTTGAAAACCCTTGCTAAGAATAACAGACGATAATCTCAGTACTCCTCCACCTCCCATGAAAAGGGGAAAAGTCATTACATTATTATTACATTTTTTTGCCTCTCAGAGCCTCAAGATTGACCTCTCTAAAATGTGAATAATAACAGCAATGTATAGAGTGTTTTTTAGAATTACCTGGTGAGGATGTGGGACATAGGAAGTGACTCATACCTGCTGATCCCTTTTCCCCCTCTCACTTTGAGACTTGTGGGTATCTTTCAGTTGCCCTCTCCTGAGGATGGTGTTCTTGTTCATGGGATGTTCATGGATGCTTCTCGATGGGATGATAAGGAAATGGTGGTAGAAGACGCATTGCCCGGACAGATGAATCCAGTGCTGCCTGTGGTGCATTTTGAACCGCAACAAAATTATGAGCCAAGCCCAACACTTTACCACTCCCCACTTTATAAAACAGGAGCCCGGGCAGGAGCACTCTCAACCACAGGTGAGGATGTTCTTAAGATTAGTTCAAATAATGACCAAATGCAATCTTCCATCAAAGTCCAAACACTAAGCTGTAATTGGCCCAAGATCTCCCTTGGACCAATTATCTAGACTTAAAATGAAGCCGCCTATAACATACAAAATTCATAAATGTAATTATAAATTCTATTTGTTCTGACTGTAGATTAATATTATAGAATTAATTATTGCTTCTATTAGAATCTAAGGAATAGAAAATAGAATTTAACAAGTAGAGACTTCCACTTTCAAAATGGTGGCCTGAATAGACACTAAAATCTCTCTTTTTCTCACCAAATCCATTTTTACTCATCATAAAAGAGATTTTAAAATAAATGAATAGGCTGGGCAAGGTGGCTCACCCCTTTAATCCCAGCACTTTGGGAGGCCAAGGTGGGTGAATCACCTGAGGTCAGGAGTTCAAGACTAGCCTGACCAACACAGTGAAACCCTGTCTCTACTAAGTACGAAAAATTAGCCTACATGGTGGCGGGTGCCTGTATTCACAGCTACTTGGGAGGCTGAGGCAGGAGAATCATTTGAACTTGGGAGGCAGAGGTTGCAGTGAGCCGAGATTGGGCCGCTGTACTCCAGCCTAGGTAACAAGAGCGAAAACTCCATCACAAATAAATAAATAAACAAATGAACAAATGGAAAGCCCTGATGCAAAACTCTGAGTGGATCTGAAACTGAGATACAGCTCTGAAAAAAGAAAGCAGACATAAAGAAAGCCACCTCAACAGATACACCGAGGGACAGCTGAAGAATGAACAGAGAAAATGAACTGGGAAAGTCGCCTTGAATACAGCATAGTGAGAGGGGAAAGAAGTGACCCTGTGGGAGGAGCCAGAATTTGCAACATTTTTCTAGTTTTCTAGGCAACCTGGAAGAAGAAAATAAAGAATGGAGGAGAGAGAATGTTTGAAAAAATAATGGCTGGTAATTTCCCAAAACTAAAGAAACACTTGAATCCTTAGATTATGAGGTCTCACAAAGTGTAAGGAATGATTTTTAGCAACATACAACAAGTAATCAAATCTTCAAAGAAACCTAGATATACCAAAGTGATACTTAAGACTGTCAGAGACAAAAAAAAAAATTCTCAAAATAACCAAAGAGAAGAGACAATGTTTAATATATGCTGGAACTGAAATCCCAGAGAATCAGAATCAGATTGATATCAGTCAACTCTCATTATCCACAGTGCATATAAAAAGATAATGGAGAATCACCTTCAAAGGGTTGAGGAAAAATACCTTTGAACCAGAATTCAAAACACGAGCAAACCATCTTCCAAAAGGGAAGTGAATAAAGACAGTTTTGAACATACAAATGCTTTAAATTCATCATCACTGACCTTCTATTTTGAAAAAAATCCAGCTGTCTGGCCAGGTGTGATATCACGTGCCTGTAGTCCCAGCTACTCAAGAGGCTAAGGTGGGAGGATCATTTGAGCCCCAGAGTTCAACACCAGCCTGGGCAACCTAGTGAAACCCCCATCTCAATTTTAAAAAAAAATCCAGCTGTCTTAGTTTGTTTGTGTTTGTGTTGCTATAAAGGAATACCTGAGGCTGAGTAACTTTAAAGAAAAGTTTATTTGGCTCATGGTTCTGCAGGCTGGTGCCAGCATCTGCTTCTGGTGAGGGCCTTAAACTGCTTCCACTCATAGCAGAAGGCAAAAGGGAGCTGGTGCGTAGAGATCCCATGGCAAGAGAGGAAGTAGGCAAGATGGGAGGGAGGTGCCAGACTCTTTTTAAGCAGCTCTCGCAAGAACTAATAAAGTGACAGCTCACCCCCCATTCCAAGGAGTATTAATCTACTCATCAGAGATCTGACCCCCATCACCCAAACACCTTCCATTAAGCCCCATCTCCAACACTGGGGATCAAATTTCAACATGAGATTTGGAGGGATCAAACATCCAAACTATAGAAGCCTGGAATAAAGAATTCTTACAAATCTGGGAGAGGGGACCAACAACCTAACCTTATCTGAAACTGTGACAGAAACCCCATCTTGTACAAGGATCAAAAGAAACTCTTTTTCAGCTATTTAAAGGAAGGGTAGTCCTATGTAGTAGTCATCAATGGCCACTAATATTCCAAAAAAAGAAAGACAATCAGACCTAGTGTGCTTCCTGATAGGAGTACGTACTACCAAAGAAGTATTCTTGCCGTAAAACTCAAACCTGCTAGCCTGGGCAAGATGGCGAAATCCTGTCTCTACAAAAAAATACAAAAATTAGCAAGGTGTGGTGCACACGCCTATAATCCCAGCTGCTTGGGAGACTGAGGCAGGAGGATTACTTGAGTCCAGGAGTTCAAGTCTGCAGTGAGCCATAATCAAACCACTGCACTCCAGCCTGGGCAAAAGAATGAGACCCTGTCTCAAAAAAAAAAAAAAAAAAAAAAAAAAAGGAAAAAAAAACCTCAAACCTGAATGTAGTCATGCCTCTAGATCTAACCTCCCCTTACAGAAAGAGAGGAATATATTTAAAATCACCACAGCAATGCTGTCATCAAAATCCAGATTCTGGGAAACTTAACAGGACAAACAGTCTGGTTGTTTCAACAAATATATTACAAGGGAGCAGCAAAAGAAGCAGAGGGAAACTTACCAGTTGAAAGATTTAAGAGACACATCACTGTTGCAAGATATGAAACTCATTTGAATCCTGGTTATTAAGAAATGATTAGGCCGGGCACAGTGGGTCATGCCTGTAATCCCAGCACTTTGGGAGGCCAAGACAGGTGGATCATTTGAGGCCAGGAATTTGAGACCAGCCTAGCCAACTAGTGAAACCCCGCCTCTACTAAAAATACAAAAAGTAGCCAGGCATGGTGGTATGCGCCTATAGCCCCAGCTACTCAAGAGGCTGAGGTAGGAGAATCACTTGAACCCAGGAGGGCAGAGGTTGCAGTGAGCTGAGATCGTGCCACTGTACTTCCAGCCTGGGTGATAGAGTGAGACCCTGTCTCAAAACAAAAAAAAAAAGTTCTATGAAGTCTAAGCTGGACGAGTCCTAAATAATTATTTGTTCTAAAATCTTCATTTTATAAAGCATAAAACAACCCATAAAGGACTATTTGTCCAGTTGGGACTGGAACCCAGATATCTTGACTCTTTGTAGCCTCTCTGTATGAGGAAGTTATTCTCTAAGTAACAACCCTTTTTTTCCTATATCCTTCATTAGGACATTCAACCAACTTTGTGGTCACCGTCCTCTTACCCTCCAAGCGGTCCAAAGACTACTGGATTGCCAAGGGGTCAGCTTTGCTGTGCCAGCTGAGTGAATGAAAACGTGCCACCTCAGCACTACAAAAGAACCAGGCCCGAGATCTTTCCTAATGGGAGCAAAAGATTTGAATAACTTATATGTGAGCAAAAAGGTGTTAATTCTGATTTGACTTAAAGGTATTAAGTGTGACTTTTATTTCTCTTATGTCCTTAAAATAAAGTGTTTGAGTTCTTTCTGTTGGCAATCCAAGCTCCGCTGTAGAAGCAGTGGGTTCAACACCCACCTGTTAAACCTGCTCCCCAACCCTAAGTGAGAGGCAGCTTCCCATCAGTTACTTTCTGGGACCCCCAGGAAGAGTCAGGACTCAGCACTTGCTTCCCCTCACAGGCTTCTTTCCTCTTCACCCTGATATGAAAGGCCCCAGGTGCTTCCGTTTCTAGACTACATTAAGGCTCTCAGAGTCCAGTGCATGGGAGGTTGATGCGGTGAGCACAACTGGTAGAGCAAATGAGCAGGATAATAAGAAGTTGGCCTATGATGTCAGTTCCCCGTTCTGTGGGGCTGCATCACAATCCTTGGAAGAGCCTATGCTTTCACAAAAGGGCAGGCCAATCCTGCCCAAGTACGGAGGATTTTCCCCTTCCACTTTAGGATGATTCTGTATGAAAACTAACCAAGTCCCAGTCAGGTGCATCTGAGCCTCTGCCACCTCAAAAGCAGAGACTGGTGGCTCAGTTCTCAAGTGGAGCAGCCAGTGTGACAAACCACCTTGTGTCGGTCCTGCCAATAATGGTCTGCCTGCTTCCTCAGCCATAATGTCATCCAAGAAACAGGGAAATCACCCAGCTAGGGTTGAGCCCTTGGTGGGAGCCACACCACCCTCTTACAAAGAATTGGAGGAACGGAGTCAGGCCTCCCAGTGTATCTCTGCCTCCCCGCTTCATCCCCATACCTATCAAAGTTAAGAGCAGATTCAAGTCGCAGAGAAGCAGGTAACAGCACTTTTGCCAGAAATCAGTGCACAAATCAGAAACTACTCTTGGTGTTTCAAGCAGAAATAGTTGCTAACATGGTCACAGGAATGGATGCCACTGCAGAAGTCAAAGAGTTGATATCAGGCATCGCACCATCTGTACTCCAAGGTGGGAACCCTGAAGGAAAAATTGTGCCAACCTCACAGCTACTCCACGCTGAAGCAGGGGAATAGAGAGGGCTACAGAGACTGACCACTGCACAAACTTGTGTCTGCTGAAGCCTGTACATAACCATGCCCCCTGCTCAAGAAAAGTTCCCTCTGCCCACTTTTGTTTTCCAAATATCCCATGAGTGTATCTCATTAGGAGAATCGAACACAGCAGCAGGGGGATTTGGGAGTTTTTGCCCGCCTACCCCTGCAACACAGATGGTGCAGAATGGAACCAAAGTGGTGGACATGGATCCTAAGTGCCACCACACTACTGTTTCAGTAAGGCCACTGAGATCTTCTGGGCCCTGGAAATAACTGAGCATGAACCCACAAAAGCCTCAGAAAAGGAAGGGAAGCCAGAGCTACAAATCCAGACAATCAGCCTTACCCTAAGCCAGATTAGGGAACAAATACAACTTCTTCTTATTGACCCCACCCAAGCCCTGGACAGACATTCTATCTAGGGTTTTTGTGGGCTACTCAGAAGCCCAGGACCATAAAGGACGCTTGCCACAGGTGGGAGACCCTGATCTGGAACCATGGTGGTTAGGGGAGAGAGATCACCTGGGCAGGGTTAAAAGCTCCCATTTCAGATTCAACTGGGGAAGTTCTACTCTTACACATTTTATAGAGAGAGTCCCAATAAGATTTGTATTTAGAAAAGACATTTACAATAAACATGTGAATAATAAATAACAAGATGGGGATTGGGGGTAGTTTGAAAACCACTTTCTTGCACAGCACCTCTGACAAAGCCTACCCACTCCCCCCACCCCCCCCCCCCAGTCTCTCAGTGAGACACACACATTATACAAAATGAAAGCATCTTTTAGGGCACAGGGAGCACCCTATTCACCAGAGCTTGAATAGAGAGGTGCAGACCACAAGTTCCATGGCCCACTGACTCCCCTGCATCCAGAACCAAGAGTGGCACAAAGAAAGGGAGCAGAAAGAAGAAAGGGTCAGGATACAAAGCCAGGGCCGGAAGGGATCAGAGCTACAGCTGAGAAGTGCAGGGCCTAGGGGGAAGCAGTGAAAGGATTTAGGGTGTGAGAGAAGTTGTCTGCCTGATATATACACATCATGAATAAAAATCTACACAAAAAAAGGTTTTATTTGCATACAACTCATTTATAATTTATTTTCACACAACTCGTTATGTTACAAAACTGTACACCTCCCCCCAAAGTTGGATAACCCAAAGTCTCATTCCTTGGAAAGAGAAGAATCAACACTGGGCTTCTTTTTAAGTGTTGGATTGGGCCCAACAAGGCTAGACCAGAATGTGGAGTACAGGAATGGCCATCCTTCAAGTCCGAGGGGTCAGGGTCTTAGCCTGGTGCTTCCGGTCGTTACAGGAGAGGTGTCTCTGTTTGGAAAGCCAGCACCAGCACCCAGAACACAGGAGTCCAGAGAGACAGGCAGGCACTGCTGGCCACTATCTGGCTGTGGTGGGAATGCCCATGGCGAGGGAGCTGCAGCTCAGTGGAGATGTGCCTGTCCAGGACACGGACCTGGAGTTGCGGGACCATGTCACTAGGAGGCAAAGAGAAAGACAGTCTGAAGGCACAGCAGAAACCACTGCACACGCCAAGGCCCCCAAATGCCCACACAGCTTCTCTTCATCTCCCCTCCTTAAAGAAAGGAATGGGTATTAGTATGTTAATAGGCTTCCTATATCTCTGGTCCTCTTTCATGTCTTTGGCCACTGCCACCAGAAAACCAAATGGCAGAGGATACTAAGACCAGCAGACTAGCCAACTGTCCCTGGCTATTTGGTTCTTCATTCAAAGATTAGTGAAAGTCTTCATATAAGACCCAATTCAAAGTTTGCTAATCACTAGCCTCTGGGCAATCTTAGGCAGGGACCCTCCTCACTGGCCACCACAGAGGCAGAGCCAGACCATGCAGATTCCTCCCTGGGTCTCTGCCTCTCTCACCTGCCCAAGTCCAGGCCTGATGTGCACAGCATGTAGGCATACCAGGTCAAGACAGTTCAAGCTGAGGGACCCATGACCTCAGACTTACCCAGATCTTTCACCTTAGCTGAGGTATAAAATGCCCAACCCCGTGGCCACCAATGGCCTTGTTGGAAAAAGTACTAAACAGGTCAATTTTCTCTGTCAATGGAGGATAGTTCATGAGTCACCGTGGGACATGAACACCATCAGAAGCTGTCCCCGTTCTCCAGGTCCCATCTGGCTGCCAGCTTCTGTCCATTTACAATGCAAATCACACAGCATCTCACATGTCTGCTTCAAACCTTTCAATGGCTCCCTACTTCCCTCCCTGTTTACCTCTCTAGACACATTTCACCTCACTACTCCTTCACTTCCCAGGCCCCAGCCAGAATTACTTTATCTCGGCTTCTTTAACACAATCGTTCCCTCCAACCAGACTTTCACATTGTTCCCTCCGCCCTCAACTGTTCCCCTTCCCTACTCAGTTGTTCACTCACTCACTCACTCATTCTACATTTATTAAGCACCTGTGCAGGCACTGGATCCCTGAATCTACTGATCCAGACTCAGAAGCTCTATTCACAAGGTTCCACTTTGGCTTCTAGTCAGTATAAGCCAAAAGGATGCTTCCTCAAGGGAAGACTTTCCTGACCTCTGACCCTAAGTAGTAACCTCCAACACACACACACACATACACACACACACACACACACACACCCCATGCACCACAAACACACACACCCACAGCACCTTACACTTCCATTGCAGATTATCTACTCAAAAATCCATCTTCCTCACCAGAATGCAAGTTCCATGAAGGCAGGGCCTGTGTCTGATTGGCCCCATACACACAGCATCCAACACAACAGCAGGCACAAAGGAGGGACTCAATAAACCTGAGATTAATTTAACTGGATTCCTGCTCCCAGCCTCTCTGGGGTAGTTCTTCCAGAAGCCTTGTGCCCTGCAGACTCAGGCTTGCCTATCCACCTCTGATCTACTCCCCAGCCATCTCTGAGACTACATTCAGTGTAGGGTCACAACTCTTCCCTTACAATGTGGGAGTTAAACATGCCCATTCCTACCGAGCTGCTTACAGCTCTGCAAATCTACGGCACTCTCCCTAAATCTGCCATGGAGAAAGATCTGAAAAATCAAGTTCTTTGCAACCTTTCCAGATGCCTTCCACTTTTAACGGACTCATCCTACCCGAAAACTTGTTCTTTAACAAGCATAAACATGTTGCCCTTGCCCTGGCTTGAAGCAACTACCTTAAATCTGGATTCGCTTCTGTCACAGTGGACAGAAAAAGGGTGCCTGGGGTCATGAGGAAAGGGAAAGGTTGCTCCATGAGGGGGGTTCCCATTGCAACCAGTGTGAGGGGCATTCCTGGCTCCGCTCACTAGGGTAAAGGTGGATGCCAACCCGACCCAGCCTGACCTCTCCTCCAGGCGGACCCACAGATCGCTGAATTGCCGGAGTCGCTGCCTCCGCCGTGGCCGCCTCCGCTTCTTCCGGAACTTCTGCTCGGCATCACTGGGAGGGTGGGCACTTCCAGGCCGAGACACAAGGGGCGGTAGCGTTGAGTGCACCGAGGATATGGCTTCCGGTGTCGGTACTTCGGAGGTAGGCACTTTTGGAGCAAAGATGGTGGACGGGGTGGGCTGTGTGGAGGTCTTTTTACTCTTCCCTCTGTACACAAGTGGAAGGAGGAGGTCTTTGGAGGAGGCTCACACAGCATGGCGCCCTCCCCAGCTCTCTTACACCTCAGGTTTCACGATGACGGCAGATAACCTGAAAGTTCAAGCTGGCCAGGAAGGGCAGAAATTACCCAGTTCTTGAAATTACCTTGGGAATTGATCTCTTTGACGCCTTTTTTTTTCCCCCTCAGATATCCTCACTCTACCCTCTCCAAATCCCCTAGTCCTGGGGAGAAAGATTCAAGATTTTTAAACTATTACATGTACAGTAATTACTGTACTTTTCCAACAATGAACAGGTCAGCACTGTCTAGAAAATCACTGACAATTATGGCTTTTTTTTTTTTAGAGACCAGGTTTCTCTCAGTAACTCAGGCTAGAGTGCAGTGGCCCAATC